TACCATGCTGCATTTTTTTATTTGCAGCTGTTACTGTTCCCGTCCTGCCATGTCACACTGGAAACTCAGGGACAATTCTGCACTCAGAAGGCTGTATTAAATAGCACCTGGGGTTAGACGGAGAGGACTGGTCGGAAGCAAGACCTTTTACACAGAATATTTTCTCCCTCAAGGTTTTAGGTGGAAAAGTGTCCTTTAGGGTTTGGTTTCCAGTCCCTGTACATATCTCGGTGGTGTTTGGGAATGTTGTCCTAGAGTTGATGGCCTTCAAAGGAATTTTAGGAAAGCCTCACAGTAGCAGTATCTCTAGAGCTGAAGTCAAGAATGCTCATTTTGCCTTCTTGTCCTCGTGGCAGTAAGAAGGTGCAAATGAGATGAGAAAAGCAGCCCTCAGATGGAGGAACATAATCCTTGATCTTGTGAAAATTGGGTTTTGATGTAAAATATCTCTGGAGTCAGTGGTAAGCTAGGTCACGTGGTTAATTAACTGCCATAAGCATAGCATGCAGCTCTTGGTAATTCATTCCAAACTTTCTTTTAATCTAATCAGGTTTGTTGTTTTTCGCATTCCTCTGTAAGCTCTTGCTACAATGTGTTTACTAATATTTTTTTTTATCAGAGGGATTCTTATAAAAATAGGAAATAATTATTTCTCTTCTCACTTTACAATTTGGTTCTGACAGTGACTGGCTGATACTTTTGCTCTAATTATTTATATCTTCAAATCTGTTTTTGTAAAACAAGTGTGATTGCTTATTAAAAAAGAGAATATTTGCTTGTGGATGTCTTTCATCTTTTTTTTTTTTTTACTTTTTTAAATGACTTGATGAACAGTAAATTTAAGATAACATTTGTTTCTTAATAGATTATATATTTATGTGTTTGTCTACTAGTGATGGTGCTAAGCAGTGACTATTAGGCTGTTCTAACTGGTGTGGTTTCTTTTCCTAGTACGTTCTCTTGGCTCCATTGCACTTCGAAAAGCAGAAGATGTTGACTTCAAGTATCATTTTAATTTCTTCAGCGTCAACTTTAATGAGGAGTTGGTTGCATTGTATGGTGGTAGTCTTCAACGACAGACCAAGTTTGTGCATGAGTGCATTAAAGTAATTCTTAAGTTGTACAGGGTAAGTAATGGCATATGTTGAATAATGTACTTGCATTTGGGAATGGAATTCTGGGCTGCTTTTTCTGCTGGAAAAGTGAAGAATGATGAATGAGGGAGGGAGACTTTCTAATGCATGTAGATAATTGAATGTGATAGCAGTACAATGGAGAATTGCTACTCTTTAATAGATTTTTAATGCTTGTGACAATTCCAGAGCTTTGGCTACATTCTATATTGTGTTTCTAAATAAATACTTCCATGCACAATGTATGCTTTCTTGTAGTAGAGGTGTGAACTTTCCCTAGCTTATTAAAATACTAATATAGCATCTCTTTACATCCAGTTTTTTCTAGGAGAATTCTTTGGTATCCTGTGTCCCTAAGAATCTCAGAAATGAAAATAAGCTTAAGTTTCTTATCTTGCACAGGCTATATAATATTTCCTTTTGAGCTGGAAACCTAATGTTAAGCACATTTTTTGAGATAGCAACTAATTTAATACTAATTTTGTAACTGTGTCAAGTTTACAAGCTAATATTAATTATTAATAATATTGTAGTAATATAATATTAATCTCAAGTTACTAGTTAATATTATCCTTGAGAGGTCATAAGTTAATTTTTGGGGAAAAAAAATATATAACTGATAACCACAGATCAGTGTCAAATCTGTTTTTGATGTGTCAAATTTCTCTTTGCTTAAGGGTCGAGAATTTGCACCGACCAGCGTTGCAATAGTAGGTCATTCCATGGGTGGTCTTGTTGCAAGAGCATTGCTTACTCTGAAGAATTTTAAGCCTGAATTTATAAACCTCCTCATTACACAAGCGACACCTCATGTTGCACCTGTAATGCCTTTAGACAAATATCTTACCGGTAAGTATTGCAGGTTATCTCATTACGACATATTTCTTTCTTGATCCTCTTAAGCATTAATAGGTGAGGTTCTTGCAAATCAACAGCAAAATGTGCTGTTTTGTTTATTGTAATTAATCTATTCGTTACTTGGGTGGTTGTCTGAGAGTGCTAGGATACTGAGAGGAAATGAAGTGTCATATAAAATGGATTATGTGGACTTGAGCTTTTGTGCAGGGCCTGGAGCTGTCAATAATTTCTAATTTTAGTGAGTGGCAGAGCATGTTACTACATTCATAAGCTCTCCAGTGAATGACATTTTTTCTTTCTTTTTTTGTAAAACTTGACCTCTGTAGTGACTTTCTTTATCAGATGACTTGCCTAAATATCGTTCTTTCTATAGAAGTTACTGAATTTACTGTTTGTCACGCCCAAAGGTTGGAGGGGGTGACAACATTAAATATAATTATATATTTTTATATAATATATTTACGCAAAAGATAGAGTGTATTTTCTGCTTGCCTAAATAACTGTGGCGTACAAAATAAAGTGTAGTCATTATGTATGTACTGTACACTTATTGAAAAGCTAGATTTGACTAAACTATACTGATGAAATATGTACTTAGTGATAATTGGGCTGCTACATGTAGATATTGAGAGAATTGGTGAAGGAAAAGGAATAGACGTTTATTTGCATTATTCTCTGTGGCACCTGAGAGGAATCGGTTATCTTTAGGTGCTGAATTTGCTTTATTGTGCTTGTATTAATTCTCCCTCCTACAACTGGTTGTAATGCAATGCTTCTTCCTTGCTGGCTGTTTCTGGACTGTGGCTATCCTTCACATAAATCTGTGGTTTGCTACTTAGGTGCTCAGCTGGTACAGAAAGTGTAAATGTGTCTGTCTTTCCCAACTGCTGTCTCCTTGGAGTTAAAACAATAATTTTCCTTCCTTATATGAATCAAAAGTGTTAATCAGAGCTTGAATGCCTCCAAGGGGGCTTACAGAAGCATTTTGTTAAATGTTTCTATAGCTTTTTTGTATATCAAATAGACTTATGGGGAAATAGTGATTGTTTTTACTATATTTTATAGATTTTTATACAGCTGTAAACAATCATTGGATTCTAAAGGCCCAAGATTTAAGAAATTTAACTACCCTTTCTGTGGCGGGAGGATTCAGAGATTACCAAGTTCGTTCAGGACTGGCTTTTCTACCAAGATTGAGTCAACATGACAGTGCCTTATCTGTTGTGGTAAAAAAGCAAACTATTTTTTTGGTTTTGCATAGAGCTGTGTTTGATAGCTAGTTATGTAATGCATGTATCGCATGTAATGCATGGTCTATGTGTGCAGCATAGTATAACTAAATATGAAAGTACTACCTGTGAAAACTCAAAGTAGATAGTGTGTGGTTATAAAATAGTAAATAGTTGGTGTAGTATAAATGAGTGTCCGCTGGAAGAGTGTGGGTTGGCGTTGATTTGAATCACCTACCACTTGGTACTGTTTCTTCTCACCACCTTCTTACACCTTTTCAGTTCCAGAACTCAGTTTTATTTTCCTGTTTTTTTTGCAAGAGATGTGTGTGTGGAGACTGACAGATGTGCAGTATAGAAGTAGGCTGCTTGTTTAATTATAAAAAGAGAGCTCTGGCTTGGAGCCTTCTTTTTGTATTTATTGTTTTTTCAGAGAATTTAGGAATAGAAAGGATGTACTGGATCATCAAGTCCAGTCTTCTGCTTTTGCTGGCAGATAGAATCTCCTTCCAAATTAATCAAGAGACATCATAAAGTACTTCGGTTTGTCATTCCATCCCCCTGCCATCAACCTGTTCTCTACATGGAAGAAGCTGCAAAACATTCCCCAGTAGGGAGAAAATTTGTAATTTCCAACTTCCATTTACTGCGCAAGCCAGTTTTTAAATGCGTTTGTTCTGGCATCAACTGGAAGTGTTATATGAAATAGTTGTCATTCCCTTGGTGTTTACCTCCCTGTCCGTTTTACAGAAAGCCATCTATAAATAGTCTCAGCTCTGATTCTGCTAGGCTAAGAGGATTAATTCTGCATTCCCTTTGTCCTAGTAACAATTCTCTGCATCTGCTCTACTTTCATTTTTCTCGAGTGTTGGTGACCAGAATTTTGCATGAGATCTCACGTGTAGTGGTACCAATTCTTTCTCATGTGTGGGGTTTTTGTTCGTTTGCTTGTGGGTTTTTGTTTAGTTTTGGGGGGTGGTTTTGTTGTTGTAGTTTGGTTTGGGTTTTTTTTCTTCCCAACTGGATTGCATTAGTAGTTCATAGCTTACTTGAATCAAGTTGTACAGCTAGGTGATGAGCTCCATTTATGGGAGGTATATTAATCCCTAAAATGCAACGCACTTATACAAACTGTCCAGTTCTTTCTGCATGGTGTTCTGATGCTTCTTTCTGTTGAGGATGCCCTTGATTTTTCAGCAGCAGCTTTCATTGGCATGCTTCTATTCTTCTGTGCCAGGATCACTTGTTAAAATAGTAAGATTAGTCATAGAAGCAGTTTTTGAAGAAATTTTTGGTAAGTTTCCACACCACTGTTGTCTGCCCTTTCACCATTAGTGTCTGCTGTCTAACATAGATCACTTGGTCGTTTGTTTTACAGGTGCTTTGGCACTTGTAAGATTTCTGACTGATGAAATCATTCTGTTGTACCCTAGTCCCTGAAACTCCTAAGATAAACACTATTCTTTTTAATAATTGCACATATATGTTTAAATAAGGAGGGGAGAAGCTTGCTTAGAGTTTTAAACTGCTGAATACTATCCAAAACTTAACTTTTTTCCTTCTCCAAACAGAGCTCAGCTGTGCCTAGGGCGTGGGCCTCAACAGACCATCTCTCCATAGTGTGGTAAGCTAATGGAACAAAGGTTAATTGACTGACCATACATCTCTCTGTTCTCTACTGTTATCACATTACACAATAATTTAACTTCAGCATAATACTGTTATGATGTCTCTTCTTACCACTTTTATTCCCCTTTGTATTTCCTTTCTGGATTTAATTTTATTTATTCTGTCTTCTAGGTGCAAAGAATTAATCCTGGCTACCATTAGAGCTTTTTTTGACCTCATAGATGAAAACACAAGGCAGGTTTGTATATGTGGCCTGTATATTTCCCCATTGCACATTCTTTATCCATCCCAGAATAGTTAATCAGGACAAATATCACCCTGTTATACAGAAGACTCCTTTTTGATTATTCTGACTCATGCTGAGAAAATTGTTACTGTTTTATCAGTCACTGAAAAATTCCATGGCTTTATGTTGTTTGACCAACGTGTCAAAAATAATTAGGTGTTAACTGAGTTTTTATTATTGATTGTGTGATGCTCTGTAGCTGGGGTGTGGACTGAACTGTTCCTCCATAATGCAGAAGGTTAAATTGACCTTGCACCAGGATAAACAGATTTTGCTCGTAGCTTCAAATGTGACCTCCCAATGTGTGTTCAGATCACCTTCTCTCACTAGTATACAAAGGGTGAAAAACTGATAGTTTAACTCAGACATAATGCTTCTCAAACTTCCCCATGAGTTGTCATTGTAGTGCCCAGGACATCTTTGTGGTGTTACTTTGCAAATAGCACTTATAAAAACAGAACACAAGTAAAATAGTGACGTATTTGTTTACCTCCAGCTACCATTTTTCATTGCTTTTTCTAAATAAATATCCTGAATCTTACTTCTTGAGAACTGTTGGAGAAATCTCCCACGTAGTCTGTTCTCTTTCTGAAATGTTATGCAGCAATAAATATGAATTGGAATTAAGATCCAAGAGGTTGGAAATATGTAAGAGCAGAGCCCCAGACACAAAACTGAGGAAGGCTTCTAGGTGGTGTTTTTGAGACTGTTTGGGGTAGACTTCTGTAGTTTTAGATGTACTCACTTTAACACATGATTTAGAGAGACATAAAGAGGGTACAGTTGTTCTAGAGCTGACTGGCAGTGTGCTGGAAGGTACAGCTTTTCAGAAATCTGTTGTAATGGCCACAGTTCTGAAAAGCTGAATAGAAAAAAATCAGTCCTGGAAATTTGATTTGGAAAAAAAACAACAAAAACCTCAAAAATAACCCCAAACAAAAGCGAATCCCAGTGTAGCTCTTACAGCTATTTGGATGCTCGAAATAGTAAGATGAGATGTAGTAAGCAGGATTTGTGAACTCAGACTAGTAAATATAAACGTGAGAATTTTTCCTAAGCTCTGGCATGACGGTGTTATTTCAGGAAGAATGCATGTGTGTCTGTAAGGAAAGTTTAATAGAATGGTTTCCTTGTGGTAAGAGTAGGCAAGGATATAAAACTAAAAGTTTTAGCCATGCTTTATAACATGTGTGGACTTTCTGTGTTGCTCTGTTGTTGTTCAAAATTGACTATTGATGGCACTTTATTTTCTCAGATTATTGAATTTAGAGTAGAATCAGTGTATTATGAATCCTAAAAATCTGTCCTGCCTCTCATCCCCAAAACTGTATTGCTAGCTATGATCATGTGATGACTGTAAATCACAAAAGCTGGTAAAATAACATTTGACAATGTGCTCTTTTTTAGATAACTGAGGATCCAAAGAAGAGAATGTCTGTATTGAATCACCACTTCGTGAGACACCCTGCAAAGATATTTGAGGAAAATCCTGAAGCTTTTACAGAACTCTCAGGTGTGCAATAGTTTTCTTTTGAACAGGATTCAATGATACTCCTTCGTTAATAGTTTATCTTCTCGTTAACAAACTTCTGGAATACATTTTGTCCTTCTTCAGACATTGCTAAAATTACATATGGGTTATAGACCTAAACTATCAGCTTTTGTGTGGTTTCAGCACTAAATAGATTAAAAGGGGTAGGAGCAAAAATTGTCAGTTTTATATGGCTTGGATTCTGGGGGACGAGCAGGAGTTGTATTTACACCAAGGTGTCCAGTAGATAATCTCAGAAATGGGGAATAGCTGGACGTCAAAAGTACAGTCTAATCTACGCTTACATCCCGTGCCTGCAAGAGGGATAGTATGAGCATTGTAGGGCCATTGTGTTAGTTTTGTGCTACTCATGGAAATCCTGAATATGCAGATCTGCTTCATCAGTCACTTCCTTTTTTTAGTGACATGGCAGGGTAAAATGGACTGCACGCTAAAGATTTCCTTGTAACTGCTAAGGTTGCATAGTTAAAGGTGAGAAATTTTGACTGCATGGAGTCTTGGGAACTAGATGGAACTTTTGCAGGGTGCAGTTGTATTCCTAGCTTTGCTGAAGTGGGCTGAACTATTTTATGAAAACCATTTTTATTTCAGGAATTTTCTTAATGTAAACTATTGCAGAAGCATTAAGGTAGCTTGAACTTCGGTGCCAGTTTTGGCCAGCCTGCATTTGGGCATTGACAGGTACTGAAGTGAGCTTGGAGCAGAAGACCACCAAGGGGGTTAACTCCTGGGGCACAGGGCATGGAGTGTCTGAGTGAACTGGGTTTTTTCACCCTGAGAATGCAAAGGGGGATCCTGTTGCTGTCTTCAACTACCTAATGAACCATTGGAGAAAGAGCGAGGTTAGATTTTTCTCAGAAGTGCACAGTGATAACACAATAAGCAATAGAGTCCAGTTACAACAAAAGAAATTTCAATTAGATATTAAGAAAAAGTACTTCACCAGGAAGGTGGTCGAACACCACTGGAACAGGTGCCTAAAGAGGTTGTGGAACTTTGTTTGTTTGGTTTTGGGTCAGTTTTTAGCCATAAGGAGAAACATGTTTAAATTGGATTTCATGTTTGCATCTTAGTATTTCTGGTGACCTCTTGACACTTAGCTATATTTCTGTGATGAAGTTGTTACTCCAGTTACACAGAAGAAAGATAGCAACTTTATTGCATGACAATTTGCGTTGTTTGTATCTCTGATCTCTTCATTATTCTGTCTTACTTTTTTTTTTTTCTCCGGACATATCTTTAAACTGCTACTGTTTCCTTGTACATGTTACTCAGTTCATCATTGACTTGCTTCTACACAAGTTTCTGTATTAGTTTTCTTAAAAGGCTGACAGGAACAAATGTCGGAGCTTTTTCTAATGTTGCCTCAGTTTTAATCAGTCACCGTGTAATTACATTAGTGTTGTTCAATTTCTTGCTTGTTTTGTTGCCTTGAGAGCTTTGTTTCAATATCCATAGGGTTTTTATTTTACAGTTAATATGTACTAATGGTTTCCTGTGTAACTGATGATAACCGTTGCATGTAATTCTAACTACTAGCAATCCTAAGTGTTGGTAAAGCTTATAAAGTTTATGGTTGTTTACAGATAAGAGACAAGACCTTGGTGAAAAGTAAAATATAAGATTTTGGAGATGGGGTAATAGTTCCTGCAGTGTGACATATAAAACCATTTATTTTTAGGAGCTTTCATGTGGATTACAGTCAAAGCCTCAAAATGGACTTACTCTGTTTACAATGTAAGTAACATTTTTTCCTCAATGTGTTTTTATGTTTATTTTTTTTACTAATGAGCAATTTTTTTTTCTTTTAAGGATTCTGATGGAAAATATTTCACATTTCCTCTTGCAAGCCATAGAAAATCATACAGTCATGTTTACTGTGAAAACAGTATGTTGGTGAGAAAATACTTCTTTAATGTCTGGAGTTTGTTTATAAAGCTGTATTTTTTTTATTATTTCATTTGCTGCAGTTTTCAAACATTTTAATGAACAGTTGTTGAAATTACTGACATCCGTTTTAAATTCACACGTTGTGTTAGATGTACTTCCTGTGATATCATGTCACACTTAGTGTTCAAGATCTGAAACCTTCAATGCCACCTGAACCTCAGATGTTTTATTTTTGACTCCTATAGTTAGCTCCAGATTAGTTTCTCCTTTAATTTAGTGCAGTTCTGTATTGATGGTTTTGAATTAAGAAGTTATTTTTAGTGCTGCCAGGATTTAGCCATACTTCTAATTTGGGAAAGCTGTTTATAGGTTTGCTTTCCTATAATAAAATTTTAGTGAGCATGAAAGGCTATGGAGATCTTTCGCTAAGCAGTGGAAGCGAATGGAAGCCAGATGAGAAAACAGCACCTTCTCAGTTGTCTCCTCTATTGAGAGGAGAGGTGATAATGTGCATTTCTTATATTTTTAGCTCAAGACATATACATTCAGCCAAAATGTTTTTAAATTTTTTTAAAAATATTTTTTAAAGGAATGAATGTAATCTCTTGGCAAACTGGAGATGGATAAATATGCTTTTCAGAATTACGTGAGTATTTTAGATTAGTGGCAAGAAAATTAAGCTGCTTTCCCATTCCATCCTGCCTGTCCCTGTTGCCACTCCTCCCTTTACCAAAGATGATGTTCATACCACTATTGTAAAAAAAAAAAAAAGAAAAAAAAAAAAAAAAAAGATTGTATGTTCTTGGTGCTTTTCTAATCGTCCTTCCCGGTAGCACCTTCAATATTTGCATGTTTGTTGTGGCCTTAGTTGTGCTTTAATAGGGTAAATTTGCCTTTGTGACAGGACTAGTACTGCTTGAGGAGGAGGAGGTACAGAACAGTGTGTCTGAGATACTTGCATCATGGTGCTATTGCTTCAGAACACTTAAATTCTTGAGGTGGGGGAGCAGTAGAGTATTAAAAACCTATATTCCTCGACTACTTAGGATAATACCTTGTGATGTTTCTTTTGGTTAGAAAAGATTGAACTCCAATAAAATTGAATTTTACATCGTATGTAAGGCAGATTTTTTTAAGAGAAATGATGGGAGTTTGTTTGCTTAACCTTATATTTGTTTTTAGAAAATGTATTGATTCACAACTATAAAAGTTGGCAAATAGAAGTTATTTAAAATGGTTCCTAGAAACTCCTGCCTTTCACACTTATGCTTCATCTTTCCATCCCTGTAATTCCAAAATTATGATATCAGACTTTATATGGAGGATATCGCTTGCTCTTAACACAGAAGTCTGACTTTGTTGTGAAACAAAGAAAAAAACTTGGTAGATATCTTTCATTATAAATAATTGAGGAAATCTGGGAGAGACTGTTTTTATCGTCTTCGCTTACACACTTCAGCACTGGACATACTTATGAGAGTTTGGTCTCTAGTGATAACTGCTGCAGATACACTTAATAGAAAAGGAGTGAGATGAAGATGGAAGTTTCTTCCTCTTTTTAGTAAGTTAATTGCACCAAGGTTCTGGTCTCACAGGATTTTTTAGAACAGTTGCTGACATCTGGTGTCACACATAGGTAATGTACTATTTTATGGTATTGACTTTACAGGATACACGTAGCTGGATTTATGGCTGTATGAACAGTAATTCATTGATGTGGTGAGTATAAACAGCTCCTGTTCTTTATCCAAATGGATCTTGTGACACTACATTTGAATTTAAAGCATGTAAAATCTCCTCCTTAGGAAGGCAGAGATTGGGAAGAAAAGTAACATTCTTACTGTGAATAATTCATGCTTTCTGTATCACCAATAAAACAGGAAAGAATAGATTTTCTCAAAATTACTGCATGAATACAGAATAAAATAGGTGAACTATTTCTTCTTTGTTAAGCTATATTTTTCACCTTCGTAGCAGTGAACAGTTGTTTGTGTTGCTCTCTTGTGGACACTACATGCTGTGCTGGATTCATAAATTGTGTGTTTTGTAGCATCTCTTTAGAATTCTGTGACAGAAGATGTCAAATATCACTCAAAGCCTTCAGAAGAGTGCATTGAAGCATCTTTTTTTTTTTAAGTTATTCCAAAATTGCTATTGTCACGTGAAAAATATTTAGAAATGTGGGTAATTTAGTGATTATTTGAATCAGGTCATTACAATCATTGCAAAGTGGATTTAAAACCCTGTCTTAGCTTACATTTGCGAAGTAAGCTCAAAGTAAATTCAGTCTACCCTTCAGATTAGGGAAAGCTTCTGGGTAGAATTGAGCTGGCATAGTATTTATCTGTGTGGGATCTGTGCTGAGGTGTATGGCTGCAGTGTCTTGCCTCCAGCTGATAGCCAGATGTCATAATTACTTTTTTCTGATCCATGGAGAAGTTGGCTGTTAACTCCTTTGTATAACCTTTGATCCGTGTCAAGTGCAGGTTAGCCTAGTTCAGGACTGCTACCTAAAACCTCAGCTAATGTGGACTGTGTCCTAAGGTCATGTGGCACTGTTTAGAGAAACAGAAATATCTTGGTATTCTAAAAATCTTAACTTAAAATGACTGAATGAGTGTGTTGCAATTCAGTGTGTTAACTTAATGTAAGTAAACACCATTTTAGAACTGCTGCAAGCTCTGCAGTAGCTAATAAACCTTTTGGTTTATATGGTATGTTTTAGATGTTCCCATAGGAAAAATTGGTATTTTTATTACCATCTTTTAAACATTAAAAGTATAGCACAAAACTGTGTGTTAATTCAATGCCAGTGCTGGTTTTGCTCTTAAGATTTCTCTTCGTGTCTAAAGTTGCATGGCTAATAACTGCTGAATGTTTTGTATATGACAAAGGTAGAGCTTTGCTTAACTTGTTTTCACAAAAACAAGATTTGCAGTACCTGAAATTATTATAGTTTGATAAATTACTATGGTAGCTAACTGCAGTAGACCCAAACTTGTTCTCAATTTAAAATCATGTGAATCCATATAGAGAGGAAAAAAAAGCTGGCATATTAATCCACTGTCATAACACAGTGCCTGCATAATGAATATGCTCATCTGTTAATGTGCATGCATTTTTACAGCCTGAAAGTTACTGATTTATCCTGGAGAGCTGAGTTACTTCCAACCACCAAGGTAAGTATTGTACATGACTTGTAGGAGGAAGAGGTGCTTTGTGGGGTAGTTGCATGTCATGGGAGAAGGAATTGTTCTGTTTACAGTATTGAAACATGCAGTTGTATTCCAGAGGAAGGGGTGCAAGGGGTGGACATCTGGGAACTGGCAAGGGGCAAGCTAAGGGGTATGTTCAGTAATGGCTTTTCTTTTTCCTCACCCCCACGTCTTTTTTTTTTTTTTTTTTTTTTTTTTTTTGTAAAGGTTGTAATACTGAAACTTCAGGACTATCCTTCTTTGTCCCATATTGTCATTCAGGTACCACCCATGGTTGGCAATAAGGTAAAAAAAAATTGAAATGCAGAAATTGCTTGCTTACTGTGTTCCTAGCTTACAGATGCTATGAAGGAAGGAAAAGGAAATGTATTAAATCTGTGCTAAGTTACTTTGAGAAACCATAGCCCTACACTCCAGTGTGGTTTAAAGGTATCTTTTGTAAGCTCAGAAACATTTTAATTTGATAAAATACCAAACACAAGGCATGAATATACTTGAAACATACAAAACAACAGTTCTGAAAACAGTTCTTAAGAGTTCTTGTTGGAGATTTTAATGTTCCTTTTCCTTGTTTTTCTTAGTATTCTGATTGCATTCCTGAATATTTACCGTTTTGAACAGTCAGCTCTCTTATCCAGGGTAGCAGAGAATGCTGTAGATAATTGAAGACACCACACATGGATTCTGGGGTGTGCGGTACAGATACCTCTGCAAGCTCTGAGACCGCAAATAATGTGATAGAGTGAGTTGTGCAGAGTTTGATAGTTCTGAGTCTCACAGATGAGTTTGATATCTTTGCATCAAGCCCTCTCAGGACCCCAGTAAGAAGAATGCTTGCAGCAAATCTAAGAGACTTTCCGTATTACCCAGCTGGGTCTGGCAGGCCTGTCTAGTTAGTCTTGAAACTGGCAGAACACTGAACTTATTTGAATTTAACTGAATTTAAAATCTAAGTGGATCTGACATTTCCTTTCTGCAACACAAATACAGTTTCTGTGCCTGTGGTATAGTAATCCGTGATCCAAGAAGTTATTCATAGATGAACAATGCTCATCTATGAGTGTGTCTTCAGATAGTTGTGACAGAGACATCTTGTAGTTAAATTAGCGATATACAACGTTCTGGATAAGCAAAAGAGAAGGGAGATCACTTGTGAAATGTAACCTGCTAAGTTGCAGTCCAGTGTTAAATCTTGGAAGCTGCTTTTAGAAAGTAAAAAGTGCTGGATTTACAATGGGATGGAGAATAATTTTCAAGTGAACTAAATGCTTATTTGAGATGGTACAACTCATATCTGCTGGATACTTTGCTTTGTTTTTGCATGATTAAACTTCCAGAGACAAACTAAAGGTTCTTTTTGCTTAGGAAATTGTATCCAGAGTTTGGACAACTCACTCTCCTTTCCAACACAACACACACCCCCCCCCCCCCCCCCCCCCCCCCCCAGATAGCTGTACCCAAGAAGGAGGGATGTGAACTGGATTCTAGTCATTCTCAGCTGTTTGAATAGCCTTTTGAAGGCTGTTGCAATGCATGAGAGCTCAAGTAACCTGGAACTCATGCTTAAGGTACCCAAACTTGTACTGCTGAGTACAGGAACAAACTACCTGCCAGTTCCTATCAGTGGAGTGTGGAGAGGTGGCTTTTCAGTATTTGTGTCCTGGACGCTGCCTGAGCCTCTGAATAGAATCTGTCAAATGCAAAGGCTTTATAGTCTTGTGCTTAGTTTAGATCTGTATTAATTAATCCTGAATTGCAGTATACTTTGGACTGTGAATTTTTCAAAGAGGATTCCAGAACGGTACAGCTTCCTGTAACACATCTTTTGTCATTTGGTAAGTATAGCATATTACTTTTGGAAACAAATGGAAAACTAACATTACTAACATTTGGATAATAAATTTGCTGAAAAATTCCAATCGTCAGGAGGTTTGGGGGGGGTTGTTTTTACTAGAATTAATACTGCTTTTGTTAGTAACAGACAAAGAAATAAGAAATGTGGGGGTTCTGACTGACAGATATAGAAGCACATAAGTGTCCTGGAATAAAAAAAAAAACAACAACCTGAAGATGTAGGGATTTCTCAAATAAATTTGTCTAATATGGGAAAATAATACATCCTTTACAGGATTTTCTTCAAGCAAAATTCTATTAAATTCAACTGGCTTACTTTACAATGTACAGCTCCAGCACTTTAACCAAGTAAGAATACTACTTAATTTTTTAAGCTAATGAAACCACTGTTTGGAGAATGTAAATGATTTTTTTTTTTTTCCTCTTTAATGTTCTAGATATATCAAGCTTTCAAAATTTATGTAGAGAGCCACTGCCAGTCACTCAAAGGTAAATATAAGGCTTCTGAAGTATACATTTATAAAACAAATCTTGCTGAAAATTCTCAAGACTGAACCTGGTAGAAACAAAAGTCCTCTCATGCAATGGGGCTTAGGCAGTACTGTGATAATCTGCTCAAATGTCTCTGCTACTATCTCTCACTTTCCACTTTTTGTTAAGAAGGATCACTCACAGAAAATGTGGAATTTGTCCTCAGATGTTTGTTTTTTCTTACTTCCCAGCAAACGGAAGTTGAACTTTCATTTTTTTCAGCAGGATTCTGCATTATGTTGAAAGTGTTCTTAAGAATAGCACATTTGGCTAGGATTTTTATTTGCTAGTTATGGGACTCAAATTTGAATGTTGGGCTACGTAAGCTTAAGCAGAAGGAGATACGACAGGACTTTGTTTCAAAAAAAAAAAAAAGTGATGGATTTCTTAGCTTGAGGTTACAGCTTTGTATTGAAAACCAGAAGTCTTCTCATGACTGTCCTGCCTTTAAACCTTGATGTCTCGCTGTCTTGTTCTGTAACACTATGAGTTAAAAAATGTCATTTTTGTTCCATGCTAACTGCACTGATCTGCATTGCAATGTAACTGCAAGTCCAGTGATTCTGTATAGTGATCTGTGTGCCACCTTTGTTTTACTTGTGTTTTAGTTTTTGGAGACAGATACCACATCTTGTTCTTAATTTTATATTTTTTTAATTCTGTTCTATTTCAGAAAGAAAACCTAGCGTTTACAGAGTTCATATACCCTGGTCACATGAAGACTCAATAACTGTAGCAAAGTAAGGACTTCAACAATTATAACATACTTCTTGATATGTTTTTGAAGAATGTTTGCATCCTGTTGTGGTAATATTTCTAATATGACAAAACTTCTCCAGTCTTAAGTGTTTGGCTTCTTCATCTTTTCCTCATCTACCTTTCTGCCCTTTTTGACAAAATTGGTTTGACTTTTCCTCAGAATAAGAGTATCTACTAATTGTTTGTTTAATAGTTCTCACTAGTTTTCTCGAAAAGCAAGTCAGACTTGCTGGTCTGAAATTCTGAGCATGATCTTTGATGCTCTCATGAGTGGGGGATAGAGACTGCTCTGGATGCTGGCTTCTTCCCCTAAGCCACAGTTTGGATCACACAGCAGCCCTAAGTTGCTTCAGCATCATAGTCCTGACAAAATCAACTGATGTGGCTTGAAATATGTGTCACTCATGAATTGCAATTGAACAAACTGACTTTATTTTAGGTGGTTGTAAAACTGTCTTCCTTGTTTATTTTAGAAGTCTTAACGATACCTCCCTATTCCACACACACACACATTTTCTAACAATGTAATAGTTCTAGGAAACTGAATTGTATTCTTGAGAATCTGTCTTTCCCATTTTTGTCACTCAGCCTATCTACATGTTCTGTGAGGCAGTGTGTACGCTAATGCTAAGCCTTGTCTGTTTTCATTAGTAACATGCCCCTTGATATTTCAGAGGACGGTGGATTGAGAATGTTATGTAGTTCTTTGTGATAGAATAAACCATTCTACCATTTCACTTGTAGCTTGTGGTGACACTTGGTGCACTAGATCTGCTTTACATGCACTTGTTGGAGACTAATGCATGTTTGGCTTTTTTTGATTATAAGGACAATTACCAATTAAGTTGCTGTTTCAGAATTCCATCTTTTACTGAGATTTCAGCAAAACTGCATATTGCTCGGCCTCAAAATGACAGCAGGGTTCCAGAGTTAAATATCTACTCTTCCTCAGACTGTCAGTATGAAGTGAGTAATACAAATTTATTTTATAGCTAGTTTGTGTTGCTGTATAATTTTTGCATAATTCAGCCTTTTAAAACATGTAGCTCATTAATGAAAAAAAATAGTAAGCAAATCTAAAGGTCGGCTGTTTAGCCTTTCTGTAAACGTAGCATGTAACAAGTATTTTGCAACAGCTGGAGTAATACTGAAAGTAGCACTTTCATTTCTAAGCAAAACTTTTAAAGCATTTGTTTTTAAAAAGCCAGTAGTAACCTGTTGTACATTTTAGTTATGAGATTGCTGTATTCTGATACTTAAGTTTGCTTCTTAAAAATAGAAGTATTTTGTATTTGAGCTTGCCGTTGTATAAAATAATAAAATATTTATTTTTGTTTAATCAAGGTAATTGTGAAGACGTCGCTTTCACAGGTTCTTGGGCAAGTAAGAAAACCTTCCAGTACTAAATTGCTTTTAATGTCAGTAGCATCTGTAGAAGTTTTCCCTTCCTCCATTCCCTAGTATGGCACTTCAAACTCCTCCTTATTCTATTCATATGTAACTACGTGCAGGTTTTCCTTGGAAAGTGGCCTTTTAATTTTTTTAATTTATTTTACTGAAACACCAGTAACATATGTAGTGGTTTAACCCCAGCTGACAGCTAAGCATCACGCAGCCACTCACTGACTCCCCTGCAGTGGGATGGGGAGGAGAATCAGAAAAAAAGTAAAACTCCTGGGTTGAGATAAGAACAGTTTAAAAACTAAAATAAAAGATAATAATAATAAGAAGAATTGTAATGAAAATGAATATAGAAACCAGGAGAAAGTGCTACTGTATTCTTTTAATATTTGTCTTGACTGGAAAAAAAAATTAATGTTTAATTTGGTCATTTATCAAAACACATTTGATTAGCCATTTGAGTGATCTGAGTATTTCCCATATATAACATTAATTGCTAATGGCGGTTATCAAATACTTATGCATCAAAATGAAAGGCTGTTTGAATCTTTTTAAAAAAGATTTTCTAAACACATTACCATGCTGGCTTCATGATAATATTTTTGTGTGTGATTTGTTTAATACATTTTTATATAAATTAAAAGTTATCCTTATCCTTGCCTTTCAGATAATAAGGTTCCATGCTGGCGCTCTTCCTGTCTATGTTGTTTCTAGTATTCTTCTTACTTATGGAGGACAATTGAGCACATTGATATCAACAGGTGGCTTTCTAGAAAAATATCTTTTTTGTCGTGAGTTGGGTTTGGTTTTTTTTTTAGAAATTATTTATCCAATTTACTGTTGAAAGACTAGCTAGTTGTGATTTTTTTTTTTTTTTTTAAGCTAAGTATCATTGAACTTGTGCAAGTACTTGGATTTATGCTCTTCAGTTTTGGTTTTGGTTTTGGTTTGTTGGTAGTTCTCCAAGGTTGTGTTGTAGCAGAATAGTTCCTTATTCTACTCTGCAATCCCTTCTTTGCAAGTCATTGGTGTTGCACAATATTTTAGAATTAATAGAAGTCTACTTAAAAAATATATGTAAAAGTTTAAAATATACTGTTAATATGCACGAAACACTATTTCTTGCATGAAGATGAGGTTTGCAGACTAACTTTTAGCCACGTCTTCAGACAAAATGCATTTTTATTTAAAATCAAGTGATGTTTGTAACAAACTCCGTAAGCTGTCTCGAAGTTCTTTTGACATTTTAGCTAAATATGACCGATCCAGTAAGTAAGGGCCTTGATGATGAAGTATGCTGACTTAACAGTACTGTTTTAAGACATGGTTATCTTGTTTTAAAGTAAACTTTCAAACCTTTGTCTGAATTTACTTTTTGTTGTGTATCTTCTTTGTTAAAGTTCATGACAAAATAATAACTATAGATGCTTTCTGTTCTTGGTTCTAGGCCAGTGTTCAGACTTTTGCTTTGAACTAGTTAGGACAGCTAAACCCTACAAAGTAGAACCTCTTATAAGCATTGCTGTGTTTCTGCAGGGGTGAGTTTGCATAACTTGCGTATTTATTTAAAGTGGTTTCCAAAACAGAAGTTTCAGAAAAACTCTTGGTGGGGAGGAATATTATTTTATCTGTAGTCGTTGTGAGCACCTGACTGATTTTGTTTGGAAGGCTGTAGTAGGAGGAATAGTTGATAAATATCTTACTGTTACAGCAATTGGAAGTGATAAGTAATACTGCTTTCGTGTTTTTGGCAGGTTTAACTGGTTTAGAGAGATATGGGAATCACTGTCATTACCAGAGATGGATGCTGCCGAACGGAGTAGTCAGGATGCGTGGTTCCCCGTTGTGTCCCTGATTCTATTTCTTTTCGGGACAGGCTTTGCCTACTGGAGTGGAGTATTTTTCTCTACATCTCTGAGACTCTTCTCTTCATTATGGTTAACTCTGATTCGGTAAAACAACATTATGCTGTATAGTTATGCTCTTTTAGATGACTGTATCCCTGTCAATTTTTTCTGTTTGCTTCAGTGTGAATGCTTGGGCAGATTAAATCATGCAATATAGTTCATAACATGGCTTTAGCCATCTGGGTTTGTCAGTGTTAAGTACTAATGAAGTATGAGGATTGCCTCATATTGTCTTGGTTTGAAAGACAGGTGTC